TCACATTGTCTTTTGTCAGTGTATAAAACGATCACATTATACATTATAGCTTTGTGTGCATGGATAGAACAGACTCTTCCCTAATGAAGTTTTCAGCACAGAGAAAAATAAAAGAGTAGGCTGGGGGTGTAGAGGAGTGAAGGTTGGAGCACCCAAAATAAATTTTTTCTAATTTTACCATCCAGAGTGAGAGACACACCCGTCCCTGCAAACCTCGCTTCTTATAGCCCATGTCAGTAGAATTAAAAGATTCCTCGCCACTTTTCTCCCCAAATGTCCCTATTTTTAGCCTTCAGATGTAGACAAGTGTGGAAATCCTATCTCACTTCAGTGTGAATAGATTTTTCCTTTTTTTGTCTCTCTCCTGCCCCTCCCACTGCTGTGTAACCGTTCTCTGTTGTCATGACTCATTCTAGAATTCTGTCCCAGTTACTCCAGTCTACACTCCTAGGATCTTTCCCACGTTTCTCTAACAGGATGGATCACTGGTCCTTAGTTCTTCGGGTCTCTTCTGTGTTATTTTTTCCACACTCTGCCCATAAACCATTTTTCTTAAATTTGATAAAACTGTGTCTGCTTGTATATCTCTGCCTCTAGAGAGGGAGAGTCCAGGCTGCTGCACACACATCTGTAAGGGACTCTCAGTAGGGTGCATAGGGTCTGTGTAGAGGAAGGAGAGGCCTAGACTATGTGCAGAAAAGGAGATTTACTTGTGTGGTCTAAGAAGACAGCCAGAGCAAGAGGCAGGCCAGGTCAGTGTTGAAATGGTATGTCAGGTTTAGTTGAAGACAGTGTAATGGGAAAGGAAACAGACTTCCAAGATGAAAACAGCAGAATTTCAAAATTTGTTTCAAGACTAGATCTGAGTTAGAAGAAGAAACACAAGTCCCTTTGATTTATTCCACAGATATCTACTCAATATCAGGTAAATGCTGGAACTACTGTCGACACAGAGGTTTGGAGTAGTGGGCTTTCATTCTTACAGAGAAGACAAATGATAAACCTTAGACATCTAATAAATAAGTGATGGCAAGTATGAAAAGGGAAGAAAGAGAAATGTGGAGGGCCATGGGGAGTTCCAGAGTACAGAAGAATGGTCCTTTTGGACCGGGAACTGATGTGGAGACATCTAAAATTCTAGATCAGTGCTTCCTATATATAGTCACAACTGCTGGTGATGTGGACAAGAGACAGGGAAGGAAGGACGATTCAAACTAGATGATGAGCAGGAGGTGCAAAGATGCCAGCTCTGGAGATTCTAGGTCTGAGGCATAGAAGGCATCATCCAGTTGCTGTATACAGGACACAGAGATATTATGTCAGAGTCTGAGGTACGCACAGAAGGAGAAGAGAAAGAGTAGACTGAGAGAAAGGAAAATGAAATGTTGTAAAACCAACAGGGCAGAGAAACTAGAAGTGGTTAAAATAAAGTTTAAAAGGCCTTCTTGGATTTATCTACTCAGAAGGTTTATAGTGGCTCTGAGAGAGCAGAATCATGGAGAGATAGAATAACAGACATCTCTGCCCTCAGGATAAAAGGACAAGGAAGCAGGAGGAGCCAGAAATGTGGAGCATTGGTTTCAGTGATTGCAGAGAATGTGCAGAAAAGGGAGAAGAAATGTTTGACGATGAAGGAATCTTGAAAGGGGGTGTTCCTCAATTCTGTTACTATTATTATTATTATTATTATTATTATTATTATTATTATTATTATTA